AAAACACATAATGAGAATAATTTCACCGTAATTTGGTCGTGTGCAGAATGCTGTGGGAACACAAAGGAGATACACTTAGCACAATCTTGGGACTTAAGGGAAGGTTCTGAGAGGAAGTGGGGCCACAGAGTTCCTATCACAGGAAAAAGTAATGTCAAATTTTTATCAGTCCTAAACCATGTTCAAAAGCTAGATAGCTATATTATAAAAGTCATATGATCATAGGTTAAGAATAAGCTTTCAGATATCACCTGGGGTAAAACTCTTATCAATTTACAACTTCCCCCAGAACCATTTATTTCATCTTCTACCACTCATCAAAATACCTTTCAAAAAATCTACTTTAGGGTACTTTTTCTTATCATACAAGAATATTTCCATTTATAAAGCTGAAATTTTTCAATTACATACTCCAAGGTCAAAACCTTCCTCAATGGAAAGGACAGTAATAAAGAGACCATAGCAATAGGTTTAGATTTCTACTTCGCCACAGCCCTAAATGAAACTCCTTCGCTTCCCTCCTGCTCCTTTCCACAGCTGTCAGGACAGGCTCCCAGGCAACAACTCCCACCACTCTTCTACATAAGAAAAAGTGCTCTCTGGACCTCCTCTCAACCAGGCTCAGCCGTGAACCACCCAGGAGAAAGCAAGTCACTATCTATCTTCTATTAAATCCAAGACAACAAGGCCAGAATTCTCCACAGCCCACCCCCACCCATAATCAAGACAAATCCTTTTCTTTCTTTCTTTTTTTTCTTTTTTTTTTGGAGACAGGGTCTCACTCTGCTACCTAAGTTGAGGTGCAGTGGCATCATTATAGCTCATTGCAGCCTTGATCTCCCAGCCTCAAGTGATCCTCCCATTTCAGCCTCCCAGGTAGCTGGGACTAACAGGCACATGCCAGCACACCTGGCTAGTTTTTGTTGTTGTTGTTTTTAGTAGAGATGGATTCTCACTATATTGCCCAGGCTGGTCTCAAACTCCTGAGCTTAAGCAATCCTCTTGCCTCTGCCTCGCAAAGGACTAGGGTTACAGGTGTGAGCCTGTAACCCCACTCAGCCAGAATAAATCCATTTAAAGTAAATCTAAATTCATTAAAGCTGTACACAGATATACTCAATACCCTACAATTCCATTCCTAAACACATAACCAACAGAAATATGTTTTCCAAAATATGTGCTACGATGTTCACAGCAGCAGTATTTGTGATAACCAAAAAAAAAAAAGCCAAATGCCTATTAACAGGAGAATGGATAAATTTTGATAAAGCCAATCAGAATTGGGCTGAATCAAAATTATGTAATCTGACAGAATGCAATGAAAAGAACATAGTATAACTTCTGTAACAGTACTGCTTAAAATGTCTAACTTGAATCTAAATTGGCAGAAACACCAGATAAACCCAAACTGAGAGATACAAAATAACTGCTGATAATCTTCAAAAGTAACAAAGTCCATGAAAATCTAAGAGAAACTAAGAATCTGTCGCAGACTGAAGGAGACTAAAGAGAGGTGACAACTAAATAACAAATGTGAATTAAAATTGCGTGTGGGATGTGATTGAGACAACTGGTGAAACCTCAATGGGGTCTGAGGGTTAGACAGTAGTAACTTATCAACATTAATTTTCTTATTTTGATGTTGAATTGTGGTTATGCAGGAAAATGTTCTGTATGAAGGAAATAAACACTAACAAGTATTGGGGGTGACAAGACATCAGGCTGGGAACTCATTCTCAAATGATTTAAAGAAAAAGTTGCTATTTTCTACTTAATTTTCTGTAAGTCTGTGATATTTCAAAGTTTTTTAAAGTATTAATTTTTTTTAAAAAGTATGCTTGGAGCAGGAAGAATGAGTAGAAAGAAGAAGAATGGAATTAAAAGTTCATAAATACTATATTTCTTATCAACGAGATACAAAGCATAGGTGCAGCTGGCTGAAAATGAATTTACTACAAACTTAGGAACCCAAGTTTTGTCTTTTCTCTCAGTATAGATCCCTCACTTCTACCCAGAAAGTAGAAAAAAATTGTAAAATTTCGCAAAAATCTGCCACATACCCTTCTTTCTACACTGGAATATCGGGATGATAAATCACAAATATACATGGAATATCTTGACTTATCTAAAATAAAAATGTGTGGCAAATGTACAACTTTTTAAAGTTGCTTTCAAGGCAAATTTATAAAATAAACAGTCAAAACTTACTAAAAATGTATTTAAGCTTTGCAATACACAAAATCAGAAGTAGCTTTAAAACCCCAAAAGTAAAAGAATTTCAGATTTATTTTCATAGTTAGATTATTAGGCACTGGGCAGCTTGGCTTGAATAGAAATTACAAAGTGAAAAACTTTGTACATTTAATTCATATTAAGTGTCTTTTCTAGGTAGTAGAAAATTGTTGTCTGCCTCCCCATCATCATTCTCCCCTCTCCCCATTCCTAACAATTATCCACTTTTGTTTGGGATATTGTGGTTCCAGGAACACACTGACTCTCAGCTCCCATGATCCCCCATCTAAACGGGCAGACATACAATCTTAGGCTAGGCTACCCCTTAAACCACAATAACTGCTTTAGTGATAGACATGTGATATGGATTAAACTCTGTCCCAAAAAAAATCGTATGTTGAGGTAATAACCCCCAGTACCTCAAAATGTGACCTTATTTAGAAATAGGATTGTTGCAGATGTACTTAGTTACAATGAGGTCACATTGGAGTTGAGAGGTGACTGATATCCTCAGAAAAATGATATTCCAATATGACTGATACCCTTAGAAAAAGCAGAAATTTGGGACATGCAGGGTGAATGCCATGTGAAGACTGGAGTTATGTTGCCACAAGTCAAAGAACTACCAGAAACCAGAAGAGAGATGTGGAATAGATCTTTCCCCAGCACCTTCAGAGGAAGCATGGCCATGCCAATACCTTGATTTCAAACTTCTGCCCTGGGACAAAGCAACTCTTTTAGATAGTATGCTATACAGAAATAAAGCCTGATCCCATGGTAACTATTTTTGCAACCATCAGAAAGCCAGACTGAGGATAAGGCATACACATAAGGGTAAAGATATATTCAGAGAAAGGGATGAAACATTCAGCAAGCTATGTCTGAAGTCCATACTATGTCTAGACTTCTCAATTTTATGAGCTAGCAGATTATATTTATTGGTTAATGTAGCACAGGCTACTAACTGCAACTGGAAAAGAAAATACTAATGCAGACATTGATCTAGTTACCAGGATGCTTTCTGCTACTAGAGAAAGAGAATTCCACTCAAATATGAGTTCCTAAGTTAGTGCCTTTAAAAATGAAAACTTCATCATCCCATGTAATAAAGTTTGGTGGTTCCAGAATAGGTTAATTTAGCAACTCAATGACCGCAACAAGGACTCAGATTCTTTCCATCTTTCTACATGTCTATGCAGCAAATCGGGTTGTCCCGAAGGTACCTGCCTCATCTCTGGATGGCTGCAGCTGTTCCAGGCATCACATTCAGTTACAACAATATCCAGAGGGGGTAAAAAAGACTGCTTCATCCCACATGCCTTTCTTTCTTTTCTTTTTTTTTTTTTTTTTTAAGCAAGAAAAACTTTTTTCAGAAGTCCCCAAAGAACTCATACTTTTTAGCCACAATTACAATGTCACAGGCATAAATCAAAGATTTGGTAAGAAGGAAATGACTATGATCAGCTTAAAAGTAGTACTAACATGCCAGAAGTTTTCTGAAATGTATGGTGATATTTTTGGTTGTCATGGAGACTGGGGGCCACCACCAGCATTTAATAGATGACAGCTAAGACTGTCCAATATCCTGGAAAATATTTGTCTATTTCACACAAAGAAATGTGGTCTAAAATGTCAACAGAGAGAAAATGGGTGAATAAAACTAAGAATAATAAAAGAGCAATGGCCAAACAGTAGACAAACATCAGTGTCTTCCACAGAGTTTCACAGTGGTAAAAGACACTATTCTTAGTTATAACTAGAATATAATCTAGGGTAGTGACAGACAAGTAAAGAAAAAATTTAAAAGCATCAACTTTAATGAGGATAAAGAAAAAACAGGATTAGGAATGGAGAAAGAATATTAACAGTTACTAAGTATCTGTTATGCTAGGTGTTCTCATAAATTCCTTCATTTAATAAACACAGAGTTAATATTTCAGTCTTCCCAAATGCTGACATAGCTAAAGTATACATATTTAGGTAACCCCAGAGAATCAATAAAAATTTATTTATATCAGAAAATATTAAATTGTTAACTCAGAAGGAAAGCTTGGCATATGCTTACACTATGATCAGTGTAGTTTAAAGCAGCCATGTCACACAACTTTGAGGTCTTCTTCTGCATCAGGTACAAAAAAAGTATTAAAAACTAGACTCAGATTAAGAGACAACAACTGTAAAATATCTGTTTTACATATAAAAATGTATATAGTTTTAAGATATGACCACTTAAGAGTCACACTTCCAACAAACTACTTAAAAATCACTGATCATGTCATTTGTTCAACACAGCTACCTCCAAATTCACCCAGTACGGAGCTATTCATTGCAGCACTAGCATATCACTGTGTTAGTATTTAAGATTTTCTTCTATACTGTCTTCTACTGATACCAAATACTAATTCAGAACAGAAATCTAGGAGTTATATCTAGCACAGGCCACATTAATTGTTAAGAGCCATATATGAAGTCTATTTCAAAGGAAAAAAGACATGACCATGAAGAAACTCACAGAGGTTACTGACAAAATTAATCACTCAGCATTGGTATTAGTAGGATCAAGAAAAAAAACTTAAAAACCAACTATGAGTAGTAACAAATAAAAACCTAGGAGTTTTGGGATTAATAGTACAATATCATAAGTAACCTGAATATCATTATGAAAACTGAATTAACTTATTTCCTAGAGAAACACAGAACAAAACTACCAAGGGTATATAACTGAAAGTGTGAACATGTCAAATATGGAAATAAAGTAAAATACTTACTGCCAAAGCCTTGGACAGTTTGGCTCTAAATTCATTCAGGATGATTGCCACAATGTCCTTAAGTGGTACGTAAGCAAAGCCATCTTCCAAATAGACTTTCCTTCCTCGAAACAAATCCAGAGCATCAGCAAAAGGGATCTGAATTAAGAGTGAAACAAGGAAAATAAGTCAGCACCTGTCATTAAGAAATCCTCCTAAGTCTTCATATGTATAAAGTATAAACAAAGAAATTCATTAGTCCTAGCAGGGCCAAAAGAATAACAAAATGATTAATTTATCCTCCTTAAAACTCAACAGCACTAGCAAAGAGTGGCAGTACAAAAATATGTTCGTTTCAGAGTTATGTTTTGAAAAATAGTAACACTAAAAGGCCAAGTTGGAATACTTTCTTTTATTCCTTAACCTCTGAATTTACAAAACATAATCCCCAGGATTTCAAACTCTTAACTCAAGACTTCTACACATGTTGCATTCACCTCACATATCCCACACCGTATTCTGCATCAGAGAGAATCCTAATTTGTAAACAACATATTCAGTGCTGAAAATTACTTGTAAGTAAAGTAATTCCAGTTTCTTCATCTACGTTTCCATTCTCACTCCAGAGAAATATATTGAGAAAGCTAATCTCAATACTAAGAAATGGAAATAATAATAAGCATTCGGTTTTGCTATTAAAATAAGCATTTGCCCCAAGTATTTATTTTTTAAAATCTTAGATTTTTAAACCCCATGAACAATCCTAAAATTCTGAAATGAGCAAAGTATGATATTAGTAAACTGTAAAAATCATTCTTACTCTCCAATAGTTTTTCTTTTTTAAAAAAACGAGGTTAAAAAAGTAGGTGAAAAATGACTCCCAAATTGCCTATTCATTCAAGTTTTAAGGAAGAATTAAATATAAATGCATACAATTTTCTGTATATCCAACGACATCGCACACTATAAACAGATCATGTGTTTTTTAACAACTTTCAATTAATTTACCGATTTCTACAACTACAACACAGTCCCTGCCCTCATGGGCACACATGGAAAGTCAAACAGCCCTACAGGATAGAACTGTGTGATACTGCACCAAATAGGTAGCTTAGATAGGACATATTAGAGGAGCAGGTAAGAGGGTTTACTGCAATAATATAGAGAAGAAACATGAGTTCTAGTCCAAGCTCTGATACTGACTAGACTTATTTGGTGAATTTAATGAATGCCTCTAAATCTCGGCAGCCAGATCTGTAAAACTGAGAGAGGGGAGGAAGAGATAGGCTAACTGACCCTTAGGGATTCTTTAGCCATAATATTCCATGATTCTAGCTTATTAAGGTGGTCACAGAGGAAATAAAAATGCCCAAGTAGAAGCAAAAGATGACATGAAGGCAGAGTAACTGGAAATGTGTGGTGTAAGAGAAATAAATATTGATCCCCACACTCTAAGCTTAAAAGGCTGACTGAATGATGGCCCAACAGTCGAAACAAAGAAGCTGGAATGGGGCAGGATTTTAAACTACTGGCACTCACTCATAATAATTAGCACATTCTTTTCAAAGGAAATTGTGGGGTTACAGTTATCAAATTGTAAAATGAATTTAAACTCATCCCTCTTCCCCTTCTGGAAGGGTTCATGTGAAGTAGTTACCACACTGAGTGGGGAGGGGAAACTGGGGTGGCCCAGCACTGGATGATGGAATCTGAGTAGGTTAAGGAGGGCATTCCCATAGGAAAAAAGTAGGCTTACAATGCCAGAGCCCAGTGGAATGCCAGAGACCATGAGGCAAGACACCACAATGTCAGAGGCCAAGAGAAGCGAAAGGGGCTTCCACGCAAGGCAGCAATCCAAACAGTGTTGGGCCAAATGGGTGATGAGGGTTTCCTGGCAGGGGACAGCCCAGTGCAGGGTGTAAGGACCCAAACAATGTGAGAAGGGTTTCCTTTAGGAAAACAGCCTGTAGGGGGAAGTCAGAGCCCAAGCAGGGTTGGGAATGCGTCTGTGGAAGGAGACAGCCCAGCAGAGAACACTGGCACACCATTAGTGCAATGAGGACAGTATCTGTGCAAGAGACGCAATAGCTGTGGTGATGAGAGGCTATAAAAATGGATTAATTAAATATGTATATAAAGCTTAATGTGACATATTTAACAAAACCTAGGAAGTATTTTACATGTTTACATACCTTATAAATGGACTCCAACACCACCTTAGATCCACTCGAATTTGGTGATGAGGCAATAATCTCCTGTTCTCGAAGAGTCTTCTCTTCATCACTTATCTAAAAAAAACATTTTAAGCTGTTATAAAAATTTGAAGTCCTCATTCAGTTTCAATAAAATGATTTCCTGTATTAATGAATACTGTTTACTTTTATTAAAAATTTTAAAACCTTGATATCTCAAATCATTTCTAACATGATATCTGAATCATTATCATTAGTGAAGGCAAAATACAGAAAAAAAATCTAAATTGAATATTCTTTCAAATTTTAAACTTGCCAGTTTCTGAAGGTATACATCAAAAGAACAGTAGCAGACAAAGAGAAAATATTTTAATGAGAAAAAGGAAAAAATTTATAATAAAACTCAGGTTAATATAGACTAAAAGTGAGCATTATCCTAATTTGAGTTATGTTAACTTATTAATCTATCCTAATTGAGGTTAGAGTGGTTTGACTATTTCTTAATTTTCTAGCCACATAAGACAATTCCAAACTTAAAACACTAGTTTTCCTAGGAAAAACTACAAATTTATTATCTCAGACTGATTATGGCCCTATAAAAAATTGATAGATCTGATAAGTAAAAGTGTTAAACTTCAAGACCAATATATATATATATTTTTATAAATGAAGATGAAATATCAGTGACAAACTGAAGGAAATATTTACATCATCTGATATGTGAGTTAGCCTCGGTAAGCCCCTAGTTGGCAGTATGTAAGCTTTTGTAACCCAAAAGTAGTAAAACATGAACGCCAATAGTTATGTAAGTAAAAATAATAAATGCTAAATTAAAATAATAATGTGTAATATGTTCCATCTATGAAAATAGTAAAAATTAACAAGATTTAGAATATACAGTGTTAGGACAATCTTTGTGTACCATACTATGATAATATATAGCAAATAGCCTTTAAAAATGCAGATTGTAACTATTTTATTTCCAAATTAATCACAAATAAATAACAGGACAAGCACACAAATAAAAACTTTTCTTCATTACATTGTTATTTATAATAATAAAGAAAAAAAACTAAATGTCCAACATGTATCTAGTTAAATAAACTGCAGTAGAACTTGCTGTTTCAGTAAAACAGGCTATATTACTCAAGTCAACCTCCTAGAGAAAACAAAACAAAACACTGATAAAATTTTAAAAACATCTTTACAGCACAGAAAGTTAATATACAAAGTCAGGCACACAAAGTGGGATATCTGACGAGAGACCTTCCTGCTCAAATAATGTAGGATTATCAGGGAATCCCAAGCCTTGAACTTGTTTTAAGGCAGTACCTGATTCAAAAGGCCAGGCACCTCGCAAAAGCAAACTCAAATCCTCTCTGGAGGAACCGTCACAGTACACCTCAAAGTATTCCTATGAATCAATTTCCAAATACTAAAACTATACTTCACAAACAAAAACAACAGAAGAATTCACAAAGTTTACAGATAATAACTATTACCATGTGTAAAGAAATAAAAGACAAGCACAATCTGTATGAAGTGGAAACCATAAAAAGTGATTTGTTTTTTTAAAAGCAAAAGGCTGGGCATGGTGGCTCACATCTATAATCCCAGCACTTTTGGAGGCCAAGGCAGGAGGATCACTTGAGTCCAGGAGTTTGAGACCAGCCTGGGCAACATGGTGAGACTCCGTCTCTACAAAAAAAAATAAATAAAAAATTAGCCAGGTATGGTGGTACGCACTTGTAATCTCAGCTACTTGGGAGGCTAAGGTGGGAGGATTGCTTGAGCCCAGGAGTTAGAGGCTGCAGTAAGCCATGATCACATTACTGCACTGCAGTCTGGGTGACATAGCAAACCCTTATCTCAAAAAAAAAAAAAAAAGAAGAAGAAGAAAAGGTAAAAGCTTTCTGATGTGCTGTTTTATATCACTGAATGGAACCTGGGTTTTCATTAAAAAGGTTCCAAACACACATTTTGAATCTAAGAAATGACATTCCTGAGCCCATTGAGCCCTTACAGGAACATACAAATATCCTGCCCTAAGACCTAAAATCAAGCAATGTACAAAAAACCTTTGTGATGTGCTATTTTATATCACTAAATGAAATCTGTGTTTTATTAAACAGGTTCCAAACACACATCTAGTTGAATATAAGAAATGACATTTCAGAGATGAATAGGCCTATACAAGAAAAAAAGGAAAAAGAAAAAAAAATTCTAGAAATAGACAAAAAAAATTTAGGCACAGAAATGTAAAACACAATGGAGTCAGGAAGAAACCCCTGAAATTCCTGTAACTGTGAACAATTACTTGAGGATGAACCAGAACCTTATCAGCCTTCATATGGATCTGCAACCCATTTTCAACTTATCTAGTGGGTCTGAGATCTCAGATTCCAGATTTAAATTAAAATTGTCCTGGATCAACAATGACCCCAGGCCAATGACAAAAAAAAAAAGACAAATGAAAACCCTTCTAGAAAGATATAATCCTCCTAAGCTTCAATATAGTCCACAAATAACTTTCCAAACACAATCTCCAGCATACAACAGTAACAAAGCACACCAGGAAATGAGACTCCATGAATAAAAACAACATAGGTAAGGAAAAAAAGGATCAAGATTGAAAAAGAAGAACTCAAACTCTCTATTTGCAGATTATATGATTTAGTATACTTAGAAAATCCAGAAGGATCCATGATAAATTATTAAAACTATTGGCCTAATTGAGTCAGGCTTCTGAATTCAAATATAGAAAAACCGGCCAGGTGCGGTGGCTTACACCTGTAATCCCAGCACTTCAGGAGCCTGAGGTGGATGGATCACAAGGTCAGGAGTTCAAGACCAGCCTGACCAACATGCTGAAACCCCATCTCTACTAAAGATTAAAAAAAAAAAAATTAGCTGGGCATGGTGGTGCACACCTGTAATCCCAGCTACTCAGGAGGGTGGGGAAGGAGAATTGCTTGAACCTGGAAGGTGGAGGTTGTGGTGAGCCAAGATCGTGCCACTGCAGTCCAGCCTGGGCAACAGAGTGAGACTCGGTCTCAAAAAATAAAAAAAAATAGAAAAACCAATTGTATTTCTATATGCCAGCAACAAAATTCAGTAATCGAATTTTTTAAGCTACCATTTACAACAGAATTAAAACTATCAAGGATCTAGGAATAAATCTAACAAAATATGTACAAGGCCTTCACCAACAAAAAAATAAAATCTTACTGAGAGAAACTGGAGAAAAATTAATTAACACACATACCCTAAACATCAACCAGAAAATTTAATATTGTAAATGTTTTAAATATCTTCAAATTAACCTATAGATTCAATACATTCCCAAACAAAATCATAATAGCTTTTGTGTATGCCTCTGTGTGTGGACATTTATAAGCTGGTTCTAAAATGTATAAGAACATGCAAAGGGCCAAGAACAGCCAAGACAGAAACAACAAAAAAGAGTCAATTCAATAGAAAAATGAGCAAAAAACATTAACGGGCACTTTACAAACAAGAAAACTCAAAGAGCCAAAAAAATGTATTAAAAGATGCTCAACCTCCTTAGTCATCAGGGTTTGAAACCATAATGGAAACCTCAATGACATACCACTACATGACAATTAGAATGGTTAAAATATAAAAATGGCCAGGCACGGGAGTTGGCATCTGTAACCCCAGCTACTTGGGAGGCTGAGGCGGTTGGATCGCTTGAGGCCAGGAGTTTGAGACTAGCCTGGGTGACTAAGTGAAATTCCCATCTCTAACAAGGTCTTGTTTGTTCACCCAGGCTGGAATGCAATGGTATGATCATGGCTCACCGAGTAATTGAACTTTCTGAGTAATTGGGACTACAGGCACGAACCACCATGCCCAGCTAATTATTCTTAAATTTTTTTAATATTACTGTATTTTTTCTTATAGAGATGGTAGCTCCCTATGTTGCTCAGGCTGGTCTCGAACTCCTGGGCTCAAGGGATCCTCCCCCATTTCCCTCTCAAAGTGTTAGAATTACAGGTGTGAGCCACCATGCCTGGCCATTTTTTAAATTTTTTATAGAGACAGGGTCTTACTATGTTACCCAGGCTAGTCTCAAATCCCTAAAATCAAGTGATTCTCCCAGCTTGGCCTCCCAATGGGCTAAGATTACAGGCATAAACCATTATACACAACCTAAAAAAAAATGTTTTTTAATTAGCTGAATGTGATGGTGTGTACCTAGTAGTCCCAACTGAGACAGGACTACAGACACACATCATCACACCCAGCTAATTTTAAAAAAAGACTGAGGTGGGAAGATCTCTTGAACCCAGGAGTTTAAGGCTACAGTGAATTATGATCACACCACTACTCTCTAGCCTGGGAAACAGAAGAAGGGTCAGCATCATCCTGATAACAAAACCCGATGGAGATACAAAAAAAAAAAAGAAAATATCAGGCCAATATCCTTGATGAACACTGATGCAAAAATCCTCAACAAAATACTTGTAAACCCAACCCAGCAGCACATCAAAAAGCTTATCCACCACGATCAAGTTGGCTTCATCTCCAGGATGCAAGGTTGGTTCAACATACACAAATCAATAAATGTGATTCATCACATAAACAGAACTAAAGATAAAAACCACATGATTATCTCAATAGATGCAGAAAAAGCCTTCAATAAAATTCAATATCCCTTCATGTTAAAAACTCTCAATAAACTGGGTATTGAAGGAACACACCTCAAAATAATAAAAGCCATACATGACAAACCCACAGCCAGTATCATACTGAATGGGCAAAAGCTTGGAAGCTTTCCCCCTGAAAACCACAAGACAAGGCTGCCCTTTCTCACCACCCCTATTCAACATAGTCTTGAAACTTCCTGCTAAGGCAATCAGGCAAGAGAAAGAAATAAAGCATATTCAAATAGGAGGAGAGAAAGTCAAACTATCCTTGTTTGCAGATGACATCATCCATTATCTAGAAAACCCCACTGTCTCAGCCCAAAAGCTTCTTAAGCTGATAAGCAACTTCAGCAAAGTCTCAGGATACTAAACTAACATGCAAAAATCACTAGCATTCCAGCTGGGTGAGGTGGCTCACACCTGTAA